GCATTCAATTTGACTGTACACGTATGTTCAGCATTTTTTTATAGTTGTGTTGGTACTTCTTTCTTTTCATTACACCCTTTTTCTATAAGCCAATTAGATTTTCCAAGTACAATTTTTCTTCTTTTCATTAATAAAAAAATCTTCCGTTTCAGGAACCTGACATATACCTTGTGCCCAATACACATCTGAAAATGTCCCAGGAACGCCAGCGTGCTTCGAGCAAAATGGTTCGCAAACATGAGGCCCTATTGAAGACAGTCACACAGAGCGACCTCACCATTGAGCGCCTCCCAGGGAGCAATTACCCGAACCCCAACAGGAACAGCACAACCAGTGCTCACCTCACTGATAAGATCGGACACATCATGTACGACCCGCGTCCTAATGATGTCCAGAGCGGTGAGTACCCCATCTCGGGTAGCAAGCTGCGGTGCCAACTTGCCGCACCTCGGAAGCATCTCCACTTTAACCCATCCGAGACCACGTTTGGTATCGTCACATGCGGTGGTATTTGCCCTGGACTGAACGATGTGATTCGTTCCATCACACTGGCTGGCATTGTGCAGTACGGTATCAAGCGCGTGATCGGTTTCCGCTACGGCTACTGGGGTCTGTCGAAGGAGGGCAGCAAGACTGCCATAGAGCTCTCGCGTGCCTCTGTGACGCAAATCCACCGCTTTGGCGGCACCATCTTGGGAAGCTCGCGTGGGCCACAGGACACCAAGGAGATGGTTGAGACGCTGGTGCGTTTGGGTGTGAACGTCCTCTTTACGGTTGGCGGTGACGGCACACAACGTGGTGCGCTAAAGATCTACGAGGAGGCGAAGCGCTGTGGACACAATATTGCTGTCTTCGGCATCCCTAAGACTATTGATAATGATCTTTCCTTTTCCCATCGCACCTTTGGTTTCCAAACAGCTGTGGAGCAGGCATGCATGGCCGTGCGCGCAGCCTATGCAGAGGCAATCTCGCTTAACTATGGTGTTGGCATTGTGAAGCTGATGGGCCGTGAGAGCGGGTTTATCGCTGCCGAGGCGGCTTTGGCGAGTGCCCAAGCGAACCTTTGCCTTGTGCCCGAGTCACCGATGTCTCTGGAGACGGTGTTGAAGTTGATAGAGCATCGCTTTTTGACTTCTCGAAACTGCGTCATTGTTGTGGCAGAGGGCTTCGGTCAGGACTGGGTGAAGGGAACCGGTGGCCACGATGCCTCCGGCAACAAGAGGCTTATCGACATTGGTTCCATCTTGAAGAAGGAAGTCTCACAATGGCTTAAGAAGAATTCGGACCGCTACCCCCAGGCCGATGTGAAGTATATTGACCCCTCTTACATGATTCGTGCATGCCCTCCATCGTCTAACGACGCATTGTTCTGCACTAACCTATCAACGTTGGCGGTGCACGAGGCTATGGCTGGTTCGACAGGTTGTGTCATCTCCATGTGGTACAACAATTACATTCTTGTGCCTATTAAGGTAGCCACGTCAGTCCGGCGTGTAATTGATACCAACAGTCTGCTTTGGCAGCAAGTTTGTTCGATCACTGTCAATCTCGATGACGACGCGAAGCAGACCAAACAGCAAGATTTGAGACGCGAGCTGGAGGCCATCACGCTAAACCGCGACCGCATCCTGTCGGATATAAATGCGAAACTATGAGGGCCGGGTAGGACGTCATTTACTTTGACCGCAGTATTACCGATGAAGGTGGATACACTGAGTCACATCAAAAACTTCGTCGATAAAAGTCGAGCACGAAGATGGTCACTAAAGATGGTCTGAATCGTGTCAGGGCTGTCTATTTTATGGTTACTTTTAATTTTAATACACGTATAGGTACAAATACAGATGCATATGTAGATATCCCCTTTCTGAAGCTAGAATGATTTGCGTCAGCCCGGTGCCACTCGTAAGGACGTGAGATGCATTGGAGGTAACAATCACTCTCTATTTAGTTGATTCCTCCTTATTACCAACTTCAAGTATTTCACTTGCGTTTATATGTCTTTTTGCTTTTTATCGCTGAAATCTATACAGGGGATGAATAGCAAGTGGTGGTCGGGTAAATGTTTTGGATGGGGATATGCAATATATATCTACATGTGTATATGTATATATAAGACTTAAGGAGTTGAGTCGCCCTATAAATACTAGACTTAATGATCTTCGAGTTCTTCAAACCTATTTTCACGTGAAATAAGCTCTTAGCTAATTTTTTAATTATTTTCGATGAAAAAAGTGGGGTGCAGACTGTGCTTTAATTTTTCGAGAATAGTAAATAAAGGGATATATCACAAAAAAAAAGTAACAAATATTTGAAAGTATCGGCCTGTACCTAGCCTCAGAAATTATAATTTTAAATGGGAACTTTTCATAAAGTTGAACTTCATTTTTAGGTTATTCATATAATCAATGCGAAGAGCTTATCTGAAAGGAATGAAATGGAAAATTAAGGGAAAAAATAAACACTCTCAAGGTAGAAATAGTAATGCTCACTTTATCTTTTCACTGCAAAAGTGCTATGTCTGTTTAAATAAGCCATCAGTGGAGGAAAATAAGAAGATGATGTTTCGGATGTTCGCATGATCACTGTTGTTTTCTTTTTTTACTATGCGATGATATCCAATGAATTGAAGCAATGCACGTTTCTAATCATCCCAATCTAACATACACATAAGTGAAGGAGGGCGGGTGTGCATAGCTGTGACCTGAAGTAACTTCGCAGGTCTGACCCGGCTAAAAATCAAAGTTAACAACCAAGTCCTTTTTTCACATTAGTTTATGGATAGTCATGACGATTTGGACTCAGCACTTTCTACCGGGGTTCATAAAATCTTAGCTCGTATTCGAAGTCTCAAAACTTTTGTTCAGCTTGAAGATGTCTACACTGAGTTACTTCTCTTTTTGAACTCTCAGGATTCAAAAATACGCGAAGTTGAGGCAGGACCAGACATTTCTCCGGTATTATCTTCACAGCTATCGGTTTTAGATCGAGTTAACCTTTGTAGTTTGCTGACAGCAGCCTTTAGCAGGCGGGCTCGCGTTTTAATGCAAACGAAAGGAACTATGCTGAATGCCGATGCTGTTTGTCTGGACAGTCCTACTGGAGGAGATGTTGGTCAGCAGGCAAATGCTTCACAGGTGCTTGTCTGGGTGCGCGAACTTGCAGAGTTGCTCAAGGGTGTTGGACGCTCACCGGCTGTGGTCCAAGCATTACGAATGGAGCTATCTCATAATGATTATTTTTCTCACGATGATGGAACCTTCTGGGCTCTCGAAGCTTCTCTTTCCTATGGTCACGGCGAACTGCATGACATTGAAACCGAGCAATATGCAAAGAATATAGAAAAGCTGAATACATTACTTTTGAAGTCTCGCCCAGATATGGATATGATTGTGGAGGCTGTTAAAGACTTGAGCGAACTTCGTTACGACGAAGCAGAGCATATATTCGAATTAGTTCAGGGAAGTGAACCTGATGGTCGAATCGATGCTGATGTTGCTTTGAAGACAACACGCGTGGTGACTCCTCTTCGTGATTTGATCTCGCGAGACTGCATCCAGCTACCAGCCAGGGGCATTAAGTGCGCACACTTCGAGGTCTTCGATGTTGGGAGTTTTGTCCGCATGACGATGCAGCGAAAGATGGCAAGATCGATTAACAACCACCATACCGGTGAATGGGGTGCGCCGTGTCCACTGTGCTGCCGTTTTACTGCACTCGTGGATCTGCGAGTTGATCGGACGGTGCTGCACGCGATTCGAGAATACGCGCATGATAAGGACGGGGAAATTGTTTCTCTTACCGTGAACCACGCATTGGAGTGGGACCTCGAAAAAAGAACATGCCGTGTGGTTGAGGGAGGCAATAGAGACCATGCGAAAGCGCATACAGACAATTCTGAGGTGGGGGTGTTGCTTGAGGATTATATGCAAGATGATCAAAACGACGGGGTTCAGAAAAAGAGACGCGTTGAAATCGATGGGCATGTGCTTTATGTGGATGAGTAAAAGGGCCAATTGAAGGCTGTGGGATGTGCGTCTGTATCTCAAATACTGAAGCGAAAATAATAGAAGTATTCTATTGTGTTTAATTATTGGGAGTGTTCCTTTAATCAACGCACGTATTGGAAAGCAACAACAACTATATATTTTTTAAAATGGACACTTCTCGACATTCGATCCACTAGGTAATATCTTTTGAAGCATATTCTTATCCAATCGCACTTGTATTTCATTCTATTCTTTAAAACAATTGTTTAAAACGATTCTTTACACACACACACATATATATATATATATATATATATATATATATATATATATATATATATACT